GCAGCAGGCAGCCGGTGGGGGAACCTCGAAGATTGAACATAAACGGCAAGCGTGTTGGGTTAAGCACAAAGAGAGCGCATGTGGGAAATGAGTGTGAAATGAGAGAGCGTGTTGAGAGTCGATTTTTTTCGAAATAGTTATGTTTGAAGGGCGCGCGTTGTGGTTCAACATGCAATACGGAAGTGCGCTCGTGCGCCCATTCTAATATTACCACGTTCGATTCACACTCTGCAACACCCATTCCCATTACCACAACAGCACATTCCCGTCGCGCAATTAGACAATGACCTTTGTGGAATTTATGTGAGTCACTGGCCAAAACGGCGAAAAGTGGAAGTGTGGAAAAAATGCAAAGTATTTTTGTTTTTTATGCCACACTTTATCGATTTATTATTTGTTGTTGGTTGTTGGCCCCATTTTGTTTTCGCATTGATTTTTACGCTGGTCTAATTGCTTAATTTGTGCGGCTAAAGGTTCAATTTCGTCAAAGAGTCCGCATAGGCAGCAAATTCATATTTCTTGTCTTCTGTGTTTTATAGCTAATCGGAGTGAAATTTTATCTTTCAGTCATTATGCGATAAGTACAATTCTTATCGATATAATAAAAACGTGTGCTAGTGATACCTTTGCAATTAGGACCGTTATTGATGCGATTTCTTATTAATCATTGAACTTTAGACAGACGAACTATTTAATTTTTTATCGACAAGATTGCAATGTTCTTTACAGATAGGATACTCACTTTGACGGTCTTTGGCATATGACTTCTCCAAAAAATCCACTGGTTCTCTTTCTTTATTTAATTAAGATCTCCAATATCACTGGTGAATGTATGTTGATTCTGACATAGGTCCAAAATTTGTAAAACAGTCTTCCAAGCGTATAGAAGTAGAGACACTATCCTTAGAGAAATACTTTTTTGATAATTCAGGAACTTCACTGTAAACAGTTTCGAGAGGACTAAAAGAAGACTATCGCAGATTCATCTTTAGGTTTCCTAAATACATACATACGTATTTTACAATATTTATCTTCTTCTTCTTAATTTGCACAGACACCGGTTATAGTTGAGTTGACAACAGCGCGCTATTCGCTCTTCCTCTTCGCACTTTGGCGGTGCTTCTCCATCTGGTCTTTCTCATGGAGTAGCGATATTCTTCCACGGCGTGTAATGCGTCGAACACTCTCAAATTTGGAGTGTTCTCATCCATTTTGACGACAACACATAGCCAGCGACTAGCACTGCTGTCTCTTAATTCGCTGAACTATGTCAATGTCGTCCGCGGAACCTTTCTTTCGAAAACTAGTAGCACCGACTCATCATGATGTCATTATCCATGCCTCTGCACCATATAGGGGGATGGGAATGATGAGCGCCTTGTAGAGTTTGGTATTTGTTTGTCGAGAAAGTATCTTATTTCTCAATCCCACTTCGTCCTAAATAGCATCTGTTGGCAAGAGTTATTCTGTGTTGGATTTCTATGCTGACATTGTTGTGGGTGTTAATACTGGTTCCAAGATAGACAAAATTACATACGACTTCGAAATTATGATTGTCAACAGTGACGGGAGAACCAAGTCGTGAATATTGAAATTATTTTTTTACTAACAGGAGATATGTCGTCTTGCCCTTGTTCAATGTCAGACCTTTGCTTCGCTTCTTTGTCAAACCTGGACAAAGGAAGTTGTTATGGACAGTAATATCGATACTAAATTCAGACATAGCGATATAAAGGCAGTTGCTTTTCGTTCTGTCGAAAGCTGATTTAAAAATGCCCAAGATTGTGTATTGATCCTCTTTGCACGGGTCTGCAGTTGTTGATTTTCCAGTCCTGAAGCCACACCGATAAAGGTCCAGTCAGTTTTTTTTACTTTAATCTTCCTTCTTTTGGGCTTTAATCTTTCACACAATATGCTCAATATATCCTTATATGCGATGTTGATGAGGCTTATCCCACGGTGGTTGGCGCAGATTGTGGTGCCTCCCTTTTTTGTGGGTTGGGCAGAGCACACTTAAATTCCAATCGTCTGGTGTGCTTTCATCCGACCACATTCAACAAAGAAGCTGATGCATTCTCCTCATCAGTTCTTCGCCGGCCATCAATCTACCGGTCTCCGCCGCTTTGTTGTTCTTCAGACGTTTCGGGCAATAGAAAGTCTACTCCATTTCATCGATTGGGAAGTCAGATTCACCATCTCCTAGTGTTAAGCTTTTCTGCCATTCAACAGGCTTGAGAAGTGTTCCCATCCCTGGTAGTTCTACAAGTGTATGGATCTGGTCTTGAAACCTTTTATTGATCGCCGCATCGTTTCGTAGAATTTTCGAGCATCCCCCGTTTCATCCAGCTTGTCAAGCACTACGTATTCGTACATTGATCTCCCGATTTGGATTCAATCACTAGCCTGTAACTGCTCCAAACAGATTTTTTTTATTTATAAATGCCCTAGAGTTGAACAAAGTATTGTAAGGCGAGAGAACACAATAGATCATTGGTCACCGCATACTTCTGCTTTTACATCATATGTATATTCCAACCTAACCTTACTTTTGGAAACGAAATTAGTAGAAAAATTCATTGAATAAACACTAAATAATCTACGTAGTTACATACTCATGGATACGGATGTAATTTGAAACAAAGAATACATTTCTCAAATACCAGCGATCAACGATAAACAAAATTCCATTAAATATTTTAGTACTTTCAGACATACGCACATATGAACAAACATACATACATATATGTACTACTAAACATTCCATATGCGCTCGCCCCAACAACAAATTTGGATATTTTACAAGCAATGAAAGATGATTGTTGTTCTTTGCCGCCTACTAAAATTGATGTCTTTATTTATACGGTGCAAACGCTATTTTGCTTTTATTCGAGAATAATCTGTGAAAATGTCTGTATGTATACGTACATGTATTTGTATGTATGCTTTAATACAGTTTATGTAGCTTTGTAGTGTCTAAACTAAATTTTGGTCAAAGAGCGTTGAGAGTGAATACTCGGAAGCATACTTATATTGAGTAGTTGATCATTGCTTTTGTAATGACATGCAATTAACTGTTCTGACTCAATCTTAAAAGCGCCGCAACTTTTAATTAAATATCCCCGATTTGCTACATTTATAGCACGAAAATGGAGCTGCCAGCTGATTTTCACGCTCTCTCTCCATCACACTCGCTTGCCTAGCGCCGATCGAAAATTGTATAAAATACAGAAGGAACACCTCGCGCGCTCACTAAAACGTATTGTTGTCCAACTTGAGCTAACTTAATTGTTAGTATTTTCCCATAACTAAATATACTATATATCTCTCGGTACGTATGAGTGTGAGTAAGTATGTTTGTGGTGCCTCCGACACCACGGAATGGCTAAAATCGCCGATTGTTGTTAGTGTTATGTGCTCGTATGATCGTTAGCATGATGAGCACAAAAAACAATAAGTGTATTTTGTGGTTGTTTATTTTAAATTTTTTTCTTTATTGTAAATGTGTTTGTATGTGTATTTGTGTGTGTGGACTTTCGTCGTTAGCCGTTTTTGCCAATTTGCCATTTGACGTTTAACTATTTAGAGTGTTCGGCTTTTTCGTGTTGTGCTCTCATCGCCATCCATCGGAACCCACGTTCGAATCTATTTATAAATCTGATGTGTGTAGCTTCGCTACGAGAATGTGGTCAACATTTCAAATGCTTGCACAAAAACAATTCACTACATCCAAGCAAACAAATAATTTTAATGTGAAAACGTCAATTCAGTTGTTTTGTCCGTTTCAATCTCTGACCGGCTGACGGAGATGCAGCCTCATGTACTGGTTCCCATAGCTAACAACAGTTGCGCGATCCGTTAGTAGATTGTGTCGGCTGTCGGCTAATGAGAAACTAGCGGTTCACTTAATTTTTGTTGTTTTTAAGAAATATGTGACACGAATATGAAAGAGGATCCCAGCACTGCAGCGACATTGTAATTCTCTCCACTTGTTACAATTTCTGTAAGATCTTTATTTTTATAGCTTCGGTTATATTGTATATTGTCGACACAGCTCCAAAATTTACAAAACTACATTACATATATGAATAATATTATCCAATCTCGATATAAGTAGATTCAATAAAGAAAAACTAGACTTCCTGCAACAATAAACCTCCGATAAACTGCCGAAATAACCGCATGTGACTCCAAGTTAAGAATTAAAGGTTAGAGAGCTTTCATTTTTGTTTCCTCCTCCACCTCCTAGCCACCTCTAGGTATCGTATAAAATTGCAAAACTGAAGACTTACTCTCCCTACTAACACGAAGGAATTTGCTGGATATTAATTAGCGGAATGAAATCACAAGAATCGTAGTTCTTATTTTATCATTTCATAGAGTTAACACTACCAATGAGAGTGAAAAATGTGATTCTTGAGACTGAGTGTATGGATGTCTGAAAGAGTATTAGCGTTTATATCTCTTTAGTACATTTGCATTCTAAACTTATCTCTAACTAACCTGACTAATCTGACTTCCCTAAATTATTATCAAAAAGCGGAACTTGACTTTTAAGTCACAAAAAAGTCATGTTTAAACTCAAAATTTATATGAAATCGGGGCATGGAGGTTATGTCGAAACTTATTCCTATTCCCAGAGTGATATCCACCAGTGTTCTATAACTATTAGTAGAAATTCTTTCACATTTCCAGTTAACATTCCACTGTGCAACTGTAACGGCACGTAAACTGCGCTCAATTCTACTCTCTTCCCAATACTGTCGCTCTCACAACACAAGCTCCCTACCAACTTGGCACAAACACGCAAATCAAATATTTAATGGGGAGAAAGTGCACATTACTGTAACAGTGAGAAAGAGAGAGAGGGCTCATATAAACACACTCACTTTCAGAGTTTGCCTAAGGGGAGCACATTGGGGACGAGCGTGAGCGGAGCGTGAGTGCTGTTGGCAGAAGCGTGAGTTTTGACATTATTAGCACTAGCTGGCCATAAGGTAGCAGTTGAGCATCTGCGATGCGAACAGTCTAAAAGTAACAGCGAAGCGATTAAGTACGGCGGAAGCAAGAACAAAGATTAAATACATATTTATATTGTTGTTGTCATTTTATAAAGAAGCTTATAGCAGACGGCACCAAAGCGACAAGGCAAGAAATCGTAAGGAAAACGTGAATAAAAAAGGAATTCGTGCAAAAAGCTACAATAAATAATTAAAAAAAAACAACAACCAAAGCAATAAAGAAAGCTAGAATAATTGCTAAGTTACTAAGTGCACCTTTTGCTGCCAATGTGCAGGTGTATCTGTGTGTGCGCTCTTTTCTTCAACTACTCTTTTTTTAAATTTCGTTTGTGTTCGCTACGGAGGCGAAGTTTAATTATTTTATTTTTCTTTTTTCCTAATTCTACTTTTTCGTGTTGTGGAATGTGTGCGCGATAAGCTGGTGCATATGTGTATGTATGTACATACATATGTATGTGCGCGAGTGTGCGTGACGAACACGCGGGTTTCAGCTGTGCGGCCGCATGAGTTACACGCACAACAACAATTGCAACAACACTGTGAAAATCAGTTGCTATAAAAAATTGCAACAACAATGGGAAACTAATTTTCTTAAAACAACAATAAATAAAACAACTAAACAGCAAGCAACAGTGTAAATCTCCGCACGGTGACGTCATAAGTGTGCTATTTACCAAAACGCTGCATTGCGGAATTAAATTTTTTGGCAAAAAACTCCCAAAAAATACCGTGTTTTGCTGAATTTGCGCCGCATTCGCGTGCCACAGCGCCATTTGCCAGCGTTGCAAGTGCTTTAGGGTAATTTACTGCGTCTTTTTGCGCCACAAGGTGATGTGCGGACGCTTTGCAGGGCAGAAAACAAAAAAAAACAAAGAAAACAACAATAAAAAGACACACAAACAAGCTGTTTGTTCTGAAAATCGATAATTGTGCACCAGAAATTCCGGTTTGCCCTCGCACATTTGGACTTGATTAATTAAAAAAATAAAAAAAATTATTTAAAAACGTATATTAAATTAAAAAACAAGTAAATACTAAATTCAAATCAAATTAAAGTGTGCGTGTGTGCGAATACTCGCGCTGCAGGAAAATTTTTCACAAATTTTCCGCTAAAGTCCAAAAGCTACTAGAAACATCGAAAAAGCATTTTCCTCCACCGAAAGCCAGCAGCTGGTACATTTTAGCAACAACAGCAATAGCCAAAACGCTAAAACGAGCGAGTGTGGTCAGCAACAGCCCTACCGTCGCGAGAAAATCGAGAGCCACTCGCCACCCCAACAAAGCACAACAGCTTGTGGACGAGGCTGCAGCGCGGCTGACGGGCTGGCGTATGTAGTTTGCAGCTCCTCAGTTGTGCATTGAATTAAGTAAAGCTAGTCGCGTTTCAGGCGAGCAAAAGCTACATACCGAGCAGCCGCCACGCAAAATATATACATATATGTAGTTGTTGTTGTTTGTTAGCGGTAGTGATTGAAAGCAGCGATCAAGCAGATTAACGCTCGCATTCTTGGTTGCTCATACGCCACCCACAGCAACGCAGCGCGAAATGCATAAGCAACGCAACAGCTGGGTGAAGGCAGTATGCAACAACAACTAACGGGATTGTCATGAACTTAAAAAAAAATCTGTTGAAATGAAATTGCGAAATTCCTAATACCGAAGTAAGTACAGGCGAGGGCAGAAGACACACTGTGAGCGACGGAAAATTTGTGGAAAATTTTGTAGCCTGCGAGGGAAGTACACACTGCGAACTAAATAATTAGGGTACTCACAACCCGTCATAAAGCATCGTAAAATCATAAAATTATAAATTTTTAAATTGGTTGAAAAAAATTGTTGCAGAGTTGTATTTGCGTAAACTGATTTCTGATTTTAGTATGCAATTTAACAACAAATCTTTTAAACTATTATAAAAAGTTACGACTTTATGACTTACGATGCTTTATTACACGTTGTGGTACCCCAGTTATGTTTTCTGAACGCTATAACTTATATGAGACTAATTATTTATAATAATATAATTTATAATAATTAAATTGAATTAATTAGAAAAAAATTATTTTAACTTAAATGCTCTCTCATAAGAAAACAAAATACATAATACTGACCGACAAATTCGGCATAAGAATTGTTAGAAAAACGAAAATCATTAGACATATCTAGTTAATGAGAGTTGTGGTAGTATTGATCCGATTTTATCTATTTTTGTCAATACCACATACTATGTATTAAAATGCCACCTACTAAAAAAATGTTAACTGAATTTCATAAAGTTACTTCACATACAATCACCAACCATATGGAGTAAAGAATTATCAGAATGATTCTTATAGGATTTATCTCGAGCGAATTTGGTTCTTTTGGCTTGGACAATTTGAGAGATATGTACATTAAACCCTCAAGAGCGCGGAGCCCCGCTTTCCTTTTCAAAATTTTTAGCCTGCGGGTCCCCTGTATCAAATTACTGTTCTATAGCTTCATTTAGTGGTTTATGGGCATGTCAGTGCTCCGATTACGTTTTTATAGATTTTTACACAAGATAAATTTAATTAGTTTAATTACGTAACATTAATCAGGGGTGTTGTGCAATCTGATAGTTGTCGGAATCAGAATGGAAACTGATCGAAAAAAATAGTCGGTGTCATGAATTCAGATATTATTGGTTTGATATTCGAAACAGAATTTTCTATCAGAAACACAGCAAGAAGATAGTCGCTCACTGATTTGAAATGTAAGTTAAGAAATCAAGTTATTTTATTATTACGAATTAAATTATCTTTATTTCGATAGGGGAAAACATAAGTATTAAACGCGAAATGTCTTAATTACTGAGTTTTTGAAAAAAACTCCTGATATTTAATGATATTGGATTTACAAAACGTAATTATAATATATAATAAAACCCAAACTCGTCTTTATTCATTCGATAAATGTTATCTCTTAAAATCTTTCTTCAATTCGGAACTCACTAAAAACCTTAATACTATTGCTCCAAATCTGTTAATTTGCAAGTATTGTCACATTAGTAAACAGCTGATTCTATTATTGGTTTAGCGTATGTTCGAAAAGATGACAATTCGAACAGATTTTGGGACACCATTGAAAGTGTGAATTGGTTTGCAACTCTGACAGCTAAGCAATTCTGTGTTGGATTCCATAACACCCCTGAATAAATTAGTAATTAATAAATTCTTAAAAACATAAGAATTATATATATTCACACAACAATGTATTGAAAAATATCGAAATGACAAAATATGCATAAATTAAAAAAAATAATAATTAAAGCTAAAAATATATATTTCTTCAAACAATATTGAACAATTAAATAAATTCGATAAGAGGCAAATTTATCTAAATGTTATCCGGTTGAAAGAGTATTATTAAAATTATTTTAAAAAATAAATTAAAATTATTAATGAAATATTTTAAAACGCACTTAAATCCGTGTTAATTAAAGTAGATCAGAACTTATGAAAAAAATGTACATTTTGAACAAAATACACATATGTGAATAAAAATAAAATATATTTTATAAAAAAATTGTTGAAAATACGGAAAAAAATAAAAATAAATAAAAAATAATAATTAACGAAAAAAAATATATAAAACACATACCAGGTCATAAAATTTATTTTCATTAAAAATTAACAAATAATAAAATAAATTTTAAATGAAAATATATTTAAAATTAAAATCTTCTTTCACTTTAATTTGCTTTTATTCGTTTGTAACATTATGGCAACAATTACTATTTGTTTGCAGCAACCAGTTGGTTATGGTGCAAATAAATCGAATTTGAGGAAAACTTTCATTTTGATTAAATACATTTGCGCACCCTTTAATATGAAAGAAAGAGTAGAAACAATTTAGTGAAATGTTAGTGGCTATAAACAAGAATAATGAGTCGAAAATTCACTATAAATTGAAAAATGCCATACTTTAAATTGGTGACTTTTTGGACTTCAAACACATACATATGTATATCGCAATCGTGTTCAATTTAACCCGATTTGCCGTTCTAAAAGTTTCCCTATCTTTTTTCTAAAATTTTACTATTTTTATCAATTCACAAATATGAAGTATGAACGCAGGGCAAAACACAAAAACTCACCTCAATCAGTTTCAAAAACTTTAATAAACTGGCAACCACGCACACGACAAACGATTCTTTAAAACACAAACGCAACGAAAAACAAAAATTTGAAATAAAAAAACTTCTTTCAACTTTACAAATTTATTTTTATTAAACTTTAGAAAACAACAACTTCTACTCGAAAATTTTTAATAAACTAATGTTTTATATGTTTTTTTTACACACTCAGCTCTACTTTTAAAAATCCTTTGATATATTAATGCACATTTAAATTACAGTCAAGTGCAAAAATATGCATAATTTATTCTAAGGAAACACGAAAATTAAGCAACGCAAAAAATACAAAGAAAAAAGTGAACAAACAACAACAAAATAAAGTTTTGGAACAACAAGAGCAACAACACTCGTTTTACAACAAAATTTACGCAAAAAATCGAAAGTAAAAAAAGCAAAAAAAAAACAACGTAAAAAACAACAACGAAATAAACGCAGCGACGACAAGCCAGTCAATTAATTGTCAGAAAATAACTAAAACCAAAAAAACAAGAACGTTTTAGCTGCAGTGCAACAAAAGTAACAACAATGCGCCCAACCGTATTGTCGACTGCGAACGCCAACGCGGCGGCGGGTGTTGGCGGTGGCGGCGGCGGTGTTGCCGGCAACACCAACAGCAACGGCGTCAACATACCCATACACCATGACTACGGCAACGTCGCCGGCAGCGGTGGTGCACACCCGCAAGCCGCCGGCTACTACGCGGACGCCAATGCCGGTGCCTACGGTTCACCGCGTCAGCAGCAGCAACAATCGCCACAACAGCAGTCCTACCATCATCAGCCTCAAGCGGCGCAACAACAACAGCATCCACACCAGCAAATGCCGCAACACTTTCAGGTTGGTACACAATAACCACGACAACAATTACAAATACAAATGCATCCTATGTTCATATGTGTGTGCATACCTGGAAGTGGCCCAAAATTCAATTGCGTTTTTGTTGTTCTTTTTTTTTTCCTTTTTTGATTATATTCTTGTTTTCGGTGGAACATTTATGCGCATGTGTTGGTGTGTCACCGTCGCCATTGCGTGTTCCGTGTGTGCCCAAGGTCACGCATATAATTGCTGTCACTCTCTCGTTACGTCTCGTTGGTTTTTGTGCCATTGCCGCCTTTCGGAAAGCGACAAGCTTCAAAAATTGGGCGTCAGCGCGGCAAGGTCGTTTCACTTTTGTATATTTACTTTTTCATATTTGTTGTTGTAACTGAAATTGTTGTTGCCACACATAATCGATGGGCTCGTTGTATTCATGGTTAATGTGTGAGAATTGTGCAATCGCACGCAATTTGCTGTATATAGTTTATATAGTATGAATGTGTCTATGTATGTGTGCACTTTTATTTATGTAATCCCAATATACATATAAATTATTTTATGACTGCTTTCGCCAAATGCAATCGAACAACTTTAGTTCTGGTGTTTATAAAATACTGTAATACATTTGGGAAGTCCACATAGAATGTTTATTGTAAGTATTTATTGAAAGCAAGTATATTACTAGGTTTGTTCAACAAATATTTTTCCAGGATAAGATGTCCAAAGACAGAAGAACTTTTCACCCTTCTCTTTGCTGCTTCTTCTATTTTGTTTGGTCTCTGCAGTGGCTACCCTTTTGGTGTCGTCTTCATAAGTTTTGTTCGCTTCCTTTTTCTAAATATTTGTTCATCAATATTGTCCTTGGGAATGAAAGATCAAAGATAATACACGGCTTATGCCAAACATTTTTTTCCAATTCTCTAACCCTTTTGGTATGGTCGTGTGTGCTTCCCTCAAAACAATTTTTATGCCTTGACAGTGTATTAAACATTTTGGAGACCCTATATACCATATATATAAATGTATGTTCCGTTTTCTTGACTGACGTAGATATAGATTCCAAGCGAAGCCTGTTCCTTCTAATGGAGGGGATGTCTTACTCTTCCTATGCTTCCCCCGGCGGATACTGCGTTGCCGTAGCCAATGCGCAAAGGACCATACATCTTCAACAGATGTTGTCTTTGTACATACCTCTGCGCCATATAACAGGACAGCAATAATGAGTGACTTATAGAGTTTGGTTTTTGTTCGTCGAGAGAGGACTTTGCTTCTCAATTGCCTACTCAGTTCGAGGTAGTACCTGTAGCAAGAGTTATTCTGCGACATTGTTGTTGGTATTAATACTGGTTTCAAGAAAAATTTTGCACGTGCCCCATATAGCCCCAATAAGCTGCTCATTTTTCTAAATTCCAATAGACTTAATATTACATTTTTTTCTGACAATGAATTTTCGCCGCTTAAAAAGTTTTTAATTTCTAATATAAAAGGGTGTTGAATGTTATGAAGAAACGAACTCGGATTAAAGATAGATCTGAGATTCCACATTAGACAATTATTTGTCTTCTTACTGGACACTATTGAAGCAGATAGCAACCTACACTAATTACTCTCTAAATATTGTTAGCTCAAAATTATTAAACTCAGTTACTTCCGTCTTGTATTGTACAGTCAAACGTTGAAATACAAAAATACAAAAATTTTCACTTGTCAATCATAAAGAAAGTGAGTTATGCCAGCCATCAAAGCAATTTGATAAACTATATATTTAAAGAGATAAAGAGAAAGAAAGAATTACACTACAAATATTATTTTTATTTCTTCGAAAACCATAACTTAGTCTATCTAGTAATCTTTGATGCACATCTCAACTTTTTATAGTGTTGTTAAGGTACCTCTTAGTTGTCTTCTTTGTTGACTTTATGTTGTGTTCACCAGATAATACAACCTAAATACACATACGAGAAGATTCTACAAATATTTATTATTTAATAAAACATTAACATTAATTAAGTGAAATATTCCAACCCATTTGCTAGGATTTTGATATCAACCAGCTAAGATAAGATAAGTTCGTATGACATGAATGTTAGTTAGAATGATATTAACTTTATTGTTGACAATGAAGTTCAGACACTTGTGTATGTGGTTATTTACCTTATATGAAACATACCACATATAAGTTCTTGTCAATCCTTTTTTTATTTACGTACGAGAAATAATTGAAAAGTCGGCGTATTCGTCAGAATTATTACAAGTTTCGACGAAAATCAGTTTAACTAAAACTAACGTTTAACTAAAATTTCAATGCTTCCTTAATACTCATTGCTTTCAGTGCTGACACTCTTAGTTTTGGAAACTGTAGATATTATAGATTAGAATACCGTTGCAAATTAGATTTCGCCAGCAGATCCTAACAATATTTATTAGTGACCATATTACTGGAGTAATAAGAGAAATCTATACGAAACTTTTATTGGCTGTCAAACTTACCTTAGCACGCTTTAGCACATCTTTGAGCTCTTTGTGCTGTGTACTGACCGATTCTTTCATCCCAAGCACAACAAAACCTTTCTGATTTCCATTCCCAATTACGAAAGAGGGAGAAAACTCTTCCGTATTACAAAGATCTTAGATCGTGATCGTGATCTTAGATGCGCCATACTTTCTTGTACAAGTTTAGATTCTATCGAATCTTGGAGCAGTAGGCTAAGTCGGATATTGAGGCAAGACTTCCGAACCCCAGATAATAGAGATAATAAACGTGCTTAATATAATATATTTAAAAAAAAAAAATGACAATTCCTGAGAGATATATTACTGTTACCCATCACACTCACACACCTTTGTCCCGAGTTATCTTTTGGTAAATATATTTGATCGATACGGAACTCTTCTTTCCTTGCAACCATGATAAGTTGTTAGCTGACCTTCTTTACCCCGATTCACGGTTAATGAAAACTAACCTAATTAACCGTTAGTCGATTAACTTGCAAGGTAATTGCGAAAACTTTAGCGAGCTGAACTCAGCTCAAGCCAATTTAGTTAATTGCTGTTTAAGTGAAATTAACCGAGTTTGCAGCCGAACCGAACCGACAAAGCGAACGCGATAAATGCGCCACTTACTCAATAGAATCAATAAATTAGCTGGAGAAATAGTGCAAAACGTAAACACGCACACATATGAACGTATACTGTAAAGTCTGTGTGCATGTCTAACAGAAGAGAGTCCAAAGTCTAACGGCAACCGAAGGTGGAACAAAAGAATTGCGGTAGGGCGAACGTGGGGGTGGTAGGGCGGCGGTCGCACAAAGCACAACTTTGTCGAGTGGAATGCATAGAAAATGGGTGAATGGATAAATGGGAGTGCCGTTAATTTCTTTGATGTGTGTGTGTGTGAGGTGCTCATATTGCATAACGTTAATTGCATTTGCAACAGATATAACACTGAAGTTACTTAACTATGGGCAACAGCAAATACACAAACAACAACACTTACAAAAACAACAGTAACAACAACAACGATGAACTAACGTGCGTCATTAAACCCAAATAAGAACAATATATTGACGATTTAGCGCATTGAAGCTACCGAAGCGTGTGACTACGGTAAAGAACTGCTAATACTAAATATATGATACATAGTATGTGTGCCGACGGATCATTAAACAGTGTCGCATGAAAGACGCCTTCATTCAATTCTATGCGCTCCGGTTCGCTTCAGTACTCTCTGCAACATAATCTGCACCTTATACATTAACCTCTCCAAATGTATTAAAATCCAGGGCGGTACATAAGAATATTGGAATATTCGTCTATTGCAAAATACTCGGGATGGTCTCATCACTATACACTTAATCGTAATCACTCTATTATATTGAGCTAATTTGCTAATTTTAAGCCTCTGGACTAAACTATTAGATCTTCTTAAATAATATCAAACTATGAAAGACTCAGCATCTACCGACAATGGATTAAAGTCTTAAACGAATCGAAAAAGAGATCTTGCTCAAAAAAAAAAAAAATAAATAAATAAATAAAAGACTCCTGTTTGAGTTGAAAATTAGTTTAGATTAAAAAAATAAACATATTTTTTTCAATACTAAGTTAGATTACTTTTGGTTGGCTTGGTTTTAATTACATTATGTTAAGATGAGATAAGCCAGTTTCGTATGGGTTACATTGAATTAAATGAATCTGTGAGTTATTAGGTAGATCATTAGATCATATGCAGACCTCTGGGTTATTCGTGGTTCGAATTATAGTTGTATTTGTGAGTCATATAGTGTACACAGGGATTTAAATGTGTTTCTTCATAAGCTTAGTGTGTCCTCCTTGTTTGTCTTATATTTTATTAAATAGTAAGAATCAAGTTTTCGACGAACAGCAACGGAGAATCGTGAGTCCAGGTTTTATGGGTATGTGGTAAAGTTATCAGATATACAGATTCTTGAAATATGACTTCAAAAGTTCAGTCCACCCTAGTATTTGTTTATATTATAATATCCATACATCTCCATAGCAATACTGTAAGTTATGGGTGTCTATTAAAAATCGGCAAATAGATTACCAAGCGGCGACGGAAGTACTCAAAACGGGCACAAGCAAAACATTTCAAGCCACTTACTTTGAAGTACATAATTTAATTTTTTTTATGCGATTCTCAATTAAGATATCGGCGCATGTGGATGCCACCACATAAATGCTACGAACCAGTATTTCTATTATACTAAAATCTAGATGCTAGCGCTAATGCAGAAGCGGCATTTACTATTGGACAAGTTTTTGTTGCCTCCACACACGCTCGCTCGGGTGAATTAGTGGGTACTAGTATCAGAGCGAGTGTGAGTACTCATGTGTGTGTTGACTAATTGACACAGTAGCATTTCGCAGCTCTAAGGTTGTGAGTCATCTATACTATTCTTGCAATGCTTGCGAAACCCACAGCGCCAGCCAAGAGCGCTTTTCGTCTTGAGCATTTTTAATAGTCTGAAAAGTTGTTTTTGTTATTTTTATTTTTATTT